TAGAGATAAAGGAACAGATGTAATATGGAGTCAGATCTGTTCTTCCCTATCACATAAGTATCAGTGAGCTTGTCAGAAAAAAACTCTGTAGAGGAAATAAAGGCTTAGATGTTTGAAGGGAGAGAAACTCACCAGGCAGAGAGGGCGGCGGAGGAGAAGAGCTCCAGTCCGGGGGGAGAGCCTTCACAAGGGCCGAGTGCTGACTGACACCATGTGCATCTGATGGTGTTCCAGAGGGGAAATGCAGGTAACGGGCCATGGAAAAGCCAAGTGGGGCTTGTGAAGGGCTTTGTAAGTCCTGCTCAAAGAGATTCTGTTTTCTAATATGAGTGACAGAAGATTTAAAATTCAATTTATTTATAAAATTTAAAAATTTAGGCAGCTGCTGAGGTAAATGGGAAAACATTGGTTCATTTGATCTAAATGATTGTTTTGCTTGTTTTTATGGACCCATCTCTTCAGTTCTGTTTTTCTGTTGTGTTTTGAAGACACCTCCTTAAGTGGATGGAGCATGGAGCACAAAGCAGCCCCAAGAACCTTTTTTAGCAAATGCATATCTTCTTCACTGTGCTGTGAAAGAGCCTCGAGCCCCACCACCCTTAGGAAGTGCAGACCGTGCATTCTTTGTTTTCTGCATTTGGTTAAGAATAAAGCTTTTCCTGTTTTAGAATGAATCTTGTTAGTGAGCCCAGCAGGAAGCAGTAAACAGAAGTGCCGTGAAACTTCACTGTGTTGTCTGGCAGTTGTCACTTCGGTGTCACCAGAGTTTCCACTCCCAGGAGGTGGCGTCTCTCCTGTGACAGCTGGCTTTGTCCATATAAAGGGAGAGAGCCCTTGTCTGATGGGGATTAATTCCCTGTGCAGCTTTAATAAGGTGCAGGGGTGTGTCCCCAGTGGCACAGTGACAGAAATCTTCCCTGACATAAATTGATCATTACCCTCTGGAGCTAAAGAAAGCTCTGTTTCCTTGGGTTCTTTGCTCTTTTTAGGTCAAGCTAATGTAGTAATTTTGTTTTCTGAAATGTTAATGCTATTTACATTCCTGGAGCCCGTCGAAACTTGTGATTCCCAGTCAGAGTTCATGGCCTCAGAGTTGTGGCAAATGTGGCCGTGGACATTTGCAGCAACATGGATGGACCTAGAGATGATCATACTAAGTGAGCTAAGTCAGACAGGGAAAGACAAGAATCATATGATATCACTTACATGTGGAATCTTTTAAAAAATGATACAAATGAATTTATTTACAAAACAGAAAGAGACTCAGAGACATAGAAAACAAACTTAAGGTTACCCAAGGGGAAAGTGGGGAGGGGGTGGATAAATTAGGAGTTTGGGATTAGCAGATACTAACTACTATATATAAAGTAGATAAACAACAAGGACCTACTGTAGAGCACAGGGAAGTATGTTCAGTATCTTGTAATAACCTAAAATGGAAAAGAATCTGAGAAAGAATATATATGTGTGTGTGTGTGTGTGTGTGTATAACTGAATTAAAAAAAAAAAGCTCCCTGGACTTGCCAATGTAGCATCCATCATCCAAAAAAAAAAAAAATAAACATAAAGTGAATATGGCCAAGGAAAGCTATTTCAACCACAGGAAAATACCCATTTATTCTGAAAGCTGTTTATCAGCAATATGTCTATTAACATACTGCCTAGTTCCAGATTTTCCTTTAATACAAACCTTTTTTGTTGTCATCCCATTCACATAATTTGCCGTGAAGAGATTTTACTGTGCTTTGTCGGAGCCAGCCGACAATCGATCAGGTCCAGAAACCTGTGCTGCAGGACTGAGAAAAGAAAGACAAGACTAGAAGGTGGGGTTGAGAGGGTCTCTAGCCCGCAAGACGCTAAGTCAAGAGTGGACCTCGAGTTTATTTCAGGCAGTTAATTTATACAAATTCAAGTGACTACCTTGTGCATTCTTGCATGTAGGCACAGGTATTGTTTCATGGTTTAAACACAGTGTGTACTAAACTCACTAACTTGTGCATAGTTCTATAGATCAATGTTGTTTATAATACTCATAAACTAGGGTATATGTTCCCACATACCAAGATCACTAACTAAGGTTGTTGTTTCTCTAAGCTAACATCGTGACTCGTGTACTATTAACTCAAGTGATTGTTCTTCAGGCTAAGATCACTAACTTGTGTGCCGATTGTATCTCTCCTTCCAAAGGTCCTTAGTGACTTAATAGCTCAGGATGTTCCTCAGGCTCTAATGCACCTGGTGCATTCTTCAAAGGGGTGGCGGGACAGAGATTGTCTTTGTTAGAATCAACCTCAGAGCCTGACGCCCTGCACTGTGGGAGTTTAGGCCCAACCTCTGTGCTCGGCAGTCCTCAGGTTATGAGTGGCCCCCCGCAGTGCTTAATCAGTCTCCTGATTTTTTTTTTAAAGAGATGGCGCTATTTGCTTATTTGATGTTGAATTACCATTTCAGGCAACTTTCACACGAAGCTAATTTTTGTATCATCTGTGCTCCTCACAAATTCTCACCACATTAGCAAAAATTTCTCAACTCTTAATATCTCCTTTTCCATATGGTAGTACACTATAATAGAAACAGCACCAAACCTAGAAGGCTCGAATTCCAGATCAAAGCCTGTCATTCACGAAATAAGCGACCTTAAAATGTCATTTAACCTCTGGGCTTTAGTGTCCCCATTTTACAGGTGAAGAAATAATCGTGTATCCTGCTGATCGTAGTGTTTTTATAGAATCAATAGGGAAAATGTACCTAAAAGCATGTTATGTTACACGTTTACTCAAGTATTTGTTGAAAAATGTAATTGTTGATGTGCCTAAAATGCAAAGTTGTCCTTCAAACATTACGTCTTCATTCAATGCTAACAAAAGGCCAGTTTTTACTAGGAGATGAGCCCTGGTGAATTTGATACAGGCATTAGGCTTCAACAACCTACAGGAATGGATGGTTAATATATCCTTCAAGCATCTCATTTAGCATCAGCCTTCTCTTCTGAAATTCTGAGAGAAGAGCTAATCAACTCAAGATAGACCCCCTGGGTGAATGTCCGCTGTGCCAAGATCCAGAGACTGACTGGTGTCACCCCTGTGCTTTAGAACTGAGGCGTGGCAGGTTATGAAATTGACAACCTGCAGTGAACATTTTAAAACTCAGAGACTTTCTCAGATTCACCATTTCACTTCTTAAGTGTGAGTCTCAGGGGTATCTTTTTGTCGCCAAAAGTTTTAGATCTGCTGAAAAGCCTGGGCAGAAGTATTTAATCTAGTCCCTCGAGTTCCATGCAGGCAGCAAAGCAGAAATAGTTCTGGCCTGGCAATTTCAAGGCAGGTGTTACCAGTTGGTTGCCTGAACCAGGAAAAAAACCTCCTTCTGGCCGTTTTTAAATGCCTGATTTGAGCGGCACTACCTCCTGATGGGCCTGCCAGGGAGAATTAGCTTCAGAATGTACTTACAAGGAAGTGGACTGAATCAAGTTACTGGACAAATTAGGAGTGTGTACTTAAATATTGAAAAATGTCTGCCCGAAACTGTAATCTCGGTTTTGGCGTCATTGAAGTTGGACTGCCCTTTTGTTTTGTTTTGTTTTGTTTTCCGATGGTATTTAGCCAGTGAGTTCAGCTGCTTATATAGGAGTTCATGATTCACGATAATAAAATCCAGGCATAGGAATTCCTTTATAAAATATAATCTTATAGCAATGAAGGCAAAAATATTACAATACATGTTAGTGTTATGAATCTAACCAGAGACTAGAAAATGCATGTGATTCCTGCTTTCTGAAAGATACATTTTCCTCACTTTGAAGTATATAAATACCCCAGAAAAGCTGGATTTCGGTCAAATTCAATCTTCTGGTGGTCTTCCATGGTTAAAAAAGTGATGCGGTTGTTAGGAAAATAAGTCCTCCTGTGAATTATAGTATTGGTTTTAAGTGTAAAAGGAATAATGCAAACTCTTCAGTGGTTCTTGAGAGTTTGAGGGTCATGTCTCCTTTGAAAATCTTACGAACACATCTCGGCGACATCTCACATAGAAAATGAATAAAGCACTTACCATACAATCAGGGTTCTAATTCCCTGATGGACCCCAGCACTCCCAGCTTCCCCACCGTGCTTATCTGTATGAACCCTCCTTGAAGATCTTATTTCTAAGCTCATTTTGCAGCTTCTCCTTTTCCTGTAGACAGTCTCCCTAGCAAATCTGGTGTGAGGTCGTGTTTAACACCCTCACCATCTCATGAAGGCCAGTGTGTTTCTGAAGAAGCATAGATCTTGGCCAGAAGTGACAGACAGAAGCAAGAACTGTCATTTGCTGGGTATCTGCTCTGGGCAGGCAGCGTGCTGAGTGCTTTATGAACAGTGCTCACCGCCCTGCATTGTTTTAAGGTATTTGGGATGGTTGGTGTGCATCACTAACTCAGGAAGCAAAAGATGCCGTCTGTATTTAAGAGATGTAAGAGACGATGAACCTCTGTCTCTAATTTTGGTCCCAGAACCCCCAAATCACCAGGTAAGAATGCCAGGCTATTCATGTCTTTCTAGGTTCCCTCCGAATGAGGGTGGCTTGAGATCAGGTACCCAGCCTCCCCGTTCCGCCTATGGGCTTGGCTGGAGTTGGAGGTGGAGCAGCCTTCCAGACCTTCTTACTGAGAAATCTCACACCCCTTCCTGCTCTGAAATCACTACCATGCTCCTCTGATGATTGCCTTTTGCTTTGCTTTGTCCACGCAGGTAACAAGCCTGACTCAGGAGGTCTCCCAGTTAGGTAAAGACATGAGAACTGTGATGCAACTTCTAGAACACATTCTGTCCCCCCAGCAGCCCTCTCGGCTCTGCTCCCTGCACACCACCTCCGTGTGTCCCTCCAGGGACAGCTTCCAGACCAGGACGACCTGGAGTGCGCACCAGCCCTGCCTACACTTGCAGGCAGGTGGCGCTGCTTATTCCCAAACACAGCTTTGTCGCGGGAACGTCACCTCAGACATATGGAGTGTGGATCCCTCCTCTGTGGGGAGCAGCCCCCGGCGAACTGGAGCCCCCGAGCGAAATCCTGCAGACACTGAACTGTTTTATTCACCTGCCCACCACCAGGTTGTCCAGGAAGGTCATTTGCAGTTTCTAAGGTGCATCTCTCCACAGTCAGATACCACCCTGACACCCCTGCAGTCCATCTCGGCGACGCTCTCGTCCTCTGTCTGCTCCTCCTCCGAAACATCTTTGCACCTGGTTCTCCCCAGCAGATCGGAAGAGGGCAGCTTGGGCCAGGGAGCCGTGAGTTCCTTCAGTCTGGAGAACTTGCCAGGATCTTGGGAGCGGGGACGAAGGGCCTCAGTCTCTCCTGACCCCTTGGAGAACTTTCCACTGGAAGTTGTCACCAGCACAGCAGAAGCGAAGGACAAGAAAGCCATAAATGTATGACACTCGTGCCTGTTTCAGCCCCTCCCCGCAGGACAGCTCTGGTTTGCCTTCCTCACCCCCAGCAGCGTGAAGGCTGGGTGATGCTGGGGGTCCCGAGGAAGAGAGCGTGAGGGGCCGGGAAAGGCAGAACCACCTTCATGCTGCAGCAGACACGCCCTAGGTCCAAGAAACAAAGTAGGAACATTTTCCTGTACAGATAATAACTTACTGGTCTGTTTGACAGACTTGGGTAAAAATCCAAAGACCCTGCGGGTCTGAGCGGCTCAGAGTCCCAGACAAAGAATTTGTGGATTGGTTTTGTCCTAGGTGGCTTTTGTGAAATGCAGCAGAGGTTTTTCCTGAGTGCCTGTGTGTCACTCCTGAACAATACCCACCGCACTGCGGGCCTCGGGAGCTCACAGCTCCCGCTGATCTATTTTTGAAATATAGAAGGCCAAGGGACAATTATCACTGCATGTCATCTCCTAGACAATCAGTCACATAGAGCCGGTGGCCAGTGGTTAGCTAGTGCACGTTATTTGCCATGTAAAAAATGAATGTCTTTATTTATCAAAAAAAAAAGCTATTTTTATATCCTTGGTATGAAATACGTATTTAAACTATTTAAAATATTTATAAAGAAATGAATGTTTTCATTTTGGTAAAAAAAAAAAAGCTTGCCGTTTTAACAAGAAATGCACTCTTGTTATGTATAATAGATCAAAAATTATTTATTATTAAGAGGATGTAGTTTCAAAAGGAATCCCCCTTTTATCTGCATGCAGTTTGCAACAAATGTATCATCACGCTTCTGGATTACAAAAGACGAGGTCAGATTTTATTAATGAAATAAAAACACAGACTGAGCGTCCGGGGTGAGGGTAGGGAGGGTTCCGCCTGGGCTCTGCTGACTCACAGAGCAGCCTGCATTGAGCCTGCCTCAACTGGGCCGGCAGTCGTTGTACTCTGTGCTTCTGGTCCGGGGAACATGAGATCACAATTACATTGAGCTATTATTTGGGCTTCAAAATGAGGGAGAAAACCTTGGGTGTATCCTTGCTCTGTGCCGTTCTTTCAGAAAAGCTCGAGGAGACCAGTGAAAAATTCCAAAATGGAGCTAAGACTTCTGAGTTATGGCTTGGGAGGGTGATGCCAGCTCACTTTGGATCAGCACTTTTCATTTTTTTCTTTAAAGCTCTCAACCATGCTGTAAGTTACGCAGAGCTGGTGTTTTCATTCTCATCTTGCAGAGAAAAAAATACAAACATAAGCCCCAGAGATTACACAGCTAGGATGCTGGAGACAGTCTAGAACCCAGACTGCTTCCTCCATGTCAACCAATGGCAAATTCAGATGCTGGCGTGGGAATAATTTAAACGCCTTCGTTAAAGTTTTATTTTGTGTGGAAGAATGTTTAGGGCCTCATCATCCCAGATATTCTTAGAAAACATATTGAATTCACATTCTGGAATCATTTCCCACCACAAAAAATAAACAATTTGAAAACTGTATCATTAAATCCTCTATACAGCGGGTGGGGGTGGGAGTAAAGCTCGGTGGGAGAGCGCGTGCCTGGCGTGCACGGGGCCCTGGGTTCAATCCCCAGTGCCTCTGCTGAGGGCAAAATAAATAAATAAAAGTTATGAAAGACATCTACACAAAGCAAGACTTCTGGTGTATGAATCTTATACCCTAAAATTGGCTAGAGTAGCAGAAAGGCTACAAACCTTCTCCAAGAAAAATGGAAACAGTACATCACTTAAGGTTCCATGTCTCCTACCCCCACCCCACCTCCAAAGCTCAAGTCTCTCCCTGCCTAAGTGGACCGGAAAACTGAGGCAAAGGCAACATGCTGGATTTAATGTATTTATTTGTATTGGCAGTTGCTCATCCTGACCTATGTCGTCATTTTAAGGGCCATTCGGATAGAACTAAGTGTTGTTGGCTCATGATTATCCCCGAGGTTGCTTCACTATTTGACAAGAATATTGTTTTCCAGAAGGGCTCTGTATTAGGTGTGGTGTTAGTGGAATGCTTGCATCAGAATCACACGGAGTTAGTTCTTTAACACGCAGAAAATCTGGCTTCAGCCCAGTCCCTTTGGATGGCATCTGGGGATCTACCACTTGGTGAACTCCCTGGGTGACATGTACGTTAAAGATTGGGAAATACTGGTCTGGATAGAATCTAGAGCATCACAAGTTGAGTCCTAGCTACATCACACCTGGGTTGGCTGGCATCTAAATTATATTTAAGACAACCCTGGGTCTATAATTGCATAATAGGCCTGGTTAACCCTATATAGTAGTTCTCTTATTTTAGTTTGAATAACATCTTTCCAGGGGCTCTTATTAAAATAGATTTCGGGGCCATGACACCTAAGACGTGGGCTGGGTCCCCAGTGATTCTGATACAGCTACTCCAGAGGAAAAGAAAGCTCTAGACACACGGCCATAAGAAGTGTAATCATCTCCATAAGGAAGAGTTGGTTCTGCAGGAGACAGACTGACTAGAATCAAACCGATTACAACTGACAATTGCATGCAATACTGTTTCCACACGGTTCCTAACGCGGCCATGATTTTTTTCGTGAAAGTGGTGGATCACGTCCTGCAAGACAGCTTTGAACATTCACTCGCTACTCCTGCTCTAACGGTTGAGTGCCAACTACGGGTCACGCATGAGGACCACTTGTTTTGTTGTGGGTCTTTGAGTTTCATTTGGACTTTATAGAAGGAAGAAAGTGAAAATGCCCTTTGAAGTCTGATAAATGGGTCAGTTCTACCCGGATCGGGAGGAATCGTGTTTTGGATGTGAAGTAAGCCAAGCGTTTGGTGAGAGAATGACAGTGCTGGAGGTGGCCCCCGTGTGGATTAGACCTGCCCCGGTCAGGATTATTTTATCCAGAGCGCTGGAAATAGCTTGCTCCAAACAGTTTTTGCGAAGGCTGCTTTGTCTCACGAAGGGGACAGTTCATTGTCTAAGGTCATCCTTCTCAGACATCGCCTTTATCCTAGAATCTGTAATTCTCCAAATGTTGTCTTCCTCAGATCACCACCACCCCTACACAGAGAGCCTCAGTTCACGTGCAGCCTCAGTGAAGGGCTGTTCCAGAGGCTTCCTTTGCCCACTTCGTTCATTGTCTCCAATGACAAACGCCCAAAATAAATAGGATGCTGAGGAAGGAGGAGTTTTGGCGGAACACAAGTGAGGGTTTGCCGCCAACGATTTTTAACTTGCTCTGGGACCTCAGTCAAGTTGTTTTTAACACTTCTGAGTCTCCATTTCTCCATCTGAAAATATAGGATTAAGCTACATCTAACTTGCAGAGTCTTTGTGAAGATTTAATGAAGTAATTTATGTGAACGCACACTGCCTGACATAAAATAAATGCTAAGCAAATGTCAGCTCTCTCCCCTGGCTCCCTCCTCCCTCCCCTCCTCCTCCCACCCTGCCCTTCCTGATTCTTCCACCTCCCCGCCTTCTCCCCTCCCTCTTCCCTCCTCCCCGCCTCCTCCCTCTCCCCCAGGTGCCCCAGGCTAACTTCTGGAAAATGAGCCCCTTTGACATCCTCTCTGCATAGGTCACAATCAAGCCTTTATACTATGTCCGCTACAATCTACTTCTCACATATTAACAATCATATCAGCGTTGCCTTAAAAAAAAAGTCATTGAGGAGGTACCAGGTAAAAAATACGCTCTCTGCTCCCAGCCGTCCTGGCCCCAATCTGCGTGGCTTCTGATTTCTTTATCTGAATTTTAGTAATTAAAGCCCTTTTTAAAACCTCTTGTGGGGAGGGTGTAGCTCAGTGGTAGAGCGCATGCCTAGCGTGCACGAGGCCCTGGGTTCAATCCCCAGCACTTCCCTTAAAAAGGTAGATAACTAAAAAACCTAATTACACCCCCCCAAATTTTTTTAAAATAAACTTTTAAAAACTCTTTACAGTTTCAGGAAGTACATTCCCTCGTGAAAATACTACATATACGTGTACTTTTTCTTTTTTGCCCATAAAGATTCTCTATGGAAATTCATGATTGCTTCAGAAATCACACACACATGCATGCACGCCGGGCCCACCAGCCCTGGCTGCTGAAGACCTGGGCTCTGTCAGCCACAAGCCTCAGAACTTTCTAGCAAGCAGTCTTGCTCTCTTCCCAGAGCTCCTCCGCTGGAAGCAGAGATGATGAAATGTCGGCCACGTCACACGGAAGCCTTCAGAGCCTCCCCTGGGTGTCCCGTGGAGACAGTAGGCCCCACCAGAGGGACTAAGCTAAATGTCACTCCCGGCAGCGTGTGTCCTGAAAGAAGCGGCTCCTCGGGGCGTGTCACTCAACAGCGCCCTGAATAAAGAGCTCACAAAAGACCGGAGGACAGCCCAGTGAGGCAGGGACGGCGCATCTGCACCTGTGGTTCCAGGCAATTCGATGTACGTTCTAGGGGTAAAAAACAGGCTGGGCGGGTAGAACCATGCCTTGGACTCTCTCCTCCTGCCTCAGCTTTTCCCCTATGGAGAGATAAGGCTGGGAATGAGATGGAAGGTAATACTGAACTGAAGGCTTTGATTTTTAAACTTGGGGTTTTTGTTTTTTGGTTTGGGTTTGTTTTTTTTTTTTGCAGTTGACTTGATAAAAATAGAACATACATATGTGATACATTTGAATACAACAGAAAATAAAATGGGAAGAAGTGAGACTTAAAAGTGTATCTGTGCTTTTCATTTTAGCAAGAAACCAGTATACTCCCTTCAAGGAACCACGCTCATTTAAGAATTCCCTGTGGGGTAAAGACTACACACACCATCCCTTCGGTAGGCTTGCTCTCAGTGAATATTCTACCAGGGCCAAGGCCCCCGAACTCCAGCAGGCAGTTTCTTCTTCACAATGGTTAACTGGTCCCGAGGGAGAATTATCTTTCAACTCGGTGTGAGGGTTGTGTGAACCGCAGCTGAGGAAGGGGCTCAAACTCAGCCTCATCTCTCGGGGGGGGGGGGGGGGGGGAACACCAGGCCCCCTGAGGGGCTGCAGCTCTGTGGCCAACACTCTGAGCGTCTTTGGGGCCCCTTGCTGTGATGGGCAGTGATGTCCGGAGGCCCCCAGGTAGAAATGTAGATTTCGGAAAGTCACCATGGTAACCCATTGCCCAAAATGAGTCCTGATGTTCCTCTTGCTCTAATCAGATAAACTAGAATAAAATCAAACTGTCACCTCTGGCTTCTAGTACCGAAAAGATATTTGAGCCCTAGCTCTGGTTCATGTAGTATATTTTCTGGCTAATTTACACAAAGACCACATCCCCAGAACAAGGATAAAGGAGACAGCTTTTGCGACGTTTGGTTCTCAAAATGTGGTCTGTGGAGCAGCTGCGGCAGCTTCATCCTGGGAGCTGATCAAAAATGCAAATTTTGGACCCCATCCCAGAGCTACCGAATTAGCACCTGCATTTTAGCAGGATCTCCAGGTATACGTGTTACAGTGTTTTAGAAACACTGGGGAAAACACTGGGTCTTGACTCTGGCTTACCCATGGGAATCACCTGGGCAGCTTTGACAAGTCAGATTCCTGGCCCTGATCTCAAAGATGTTGCTTCAGTTTGAGTGGGAGCCAAGCATCAGTAATAGTTAAAACTCCCCCAGGTGACTCCAATATGCACCCAGGGTTGAAAACACACTCCTCTAGAACAGCGCTTCTCAAAATGTGGTCCCTTGATCAGAAAGAAGCAGCAGGCTCACCGGGAACTAGTTAGAAATGCAAATACTCAGGGCCCACCCCAGGCGTACAGAAACCCGGAGGGCGGGTCCGGCGATATGTGATGGTTCTGGCGCTGCTGATGTTTGAGGTTCCTGCTCTAGTCTGGAGGACAAAGGAACCAGCATGGGCTGAAGTAGGTCTCAAGCAGGTGGGAGTTTATCCGTAATAATATATATCTGTTAGATGTTTAATAAGATGTGTAGCAACGTCAACCTTCTTCTAGGAAACTCATCGTTTTCTGTCTATTTCAGATATTCCTCTGTGTTTTAAAACCGTACGGCTAGACGAACAGACCACTTTCTAATTAGAAGAGGTTCCCTCCATCGCCATCTTTTCTATTTCTAGTTTGGCCCCATGATACCCTTGCGAAAAGGTTTATAACCAGGATGGCATCGGTGCACGTCAGCCTCATCAGGCTGGCTTGGGGACGGAGCGCTGCTTCCCTAGGGGCGTGGCCTGGGAGAGAAGCTTACCCCCCTCCCCCGGGGCTACGGGCAGCACGGTGCGCGCC